GCTGCAATTCGCCCAAAACTGAAATTGCCTTATCGCACTATAGCCACACTTGATATTTTTTGCCATGGTAATCCAAAATGATCTGTTTTTGTTGTTCCCGAAATCTACAGATTCTCCAAACTTACATATAGAACAGTGCGGGAGTAGCTCACCTATACCAGTTATCTAACCTAATCATAACCAATATAGACAGTATCGATACGCTCGTGAATATCCATCTGATTCAGACAGTATACGTAAACATTGCGACCGCTGCAGATTTTCACTTTTCCTACCTTCGGCTTCAAAAAAAAAATCATTTACTGAATGGAAAAATGAATTTTCCAACGCTCCAACTGCCAACGAAAATTAAACTTTCGGTGCTATTATGACAAAAAAAAAAACATAGCAAGTATCTACTAAGTTAATAAAACAATATACCTAATAAAAGTACAGTCTTGTAATAATGTTGTAATCATATGTCGGTCATAGTAACATAAATCGATGAAAATATTAAAATATAATTAATCGTTAATAATTTACCTAATCTAACAGAAAACCGATCCTGGGAATGATCTAATTGACTAAACGTGTAGATTTAGTCAAATATCCGACAAATATAYGAGTTAAGCGGGAAAACTCTGGAAGTCTTATACCCGTCAAGTGATTTAATTTAATTTTTATATTTATCGTATGGCGTATGGCTTAATACTTCATAGTGAGTGACTGACTAATTAGTATACCTACTCTTATATCATCATACCTGATTTATGCGTCATAAAATATAATTACTTGCCAAGTGCATTATCGTGTAAACCTAATTCTATACACATCAAGTATTTAACTAACACCTCATGAATAAAAGTTTATTTTTCTAAAGATTCTTCTCTATGAAATGAATCTATAACCTATTTTCATCATCGCAGATTCAATGATTCATTATACTATCTACCTATGTGTTTTTAATTTATTCTTTAATTTAACCTAAAAACAATTATATTCTAATTTTTAATTTWATTTATTTATTATTCAAAATCCCATTGTCAGTATAACCTAATTTTATCACAGATTAAATTAGAAAAAAAATCTTTGAATTTACTTCCTTCTTTGGTAGCATAGTGTGAGTTTGACCTATACTATAAAATTAAAATTTGTTAAAATGGATTTTGACTTTTTTTAGTAGTTAGAACTTGATAATTCTCATTTAATTTGTAGCAATTTAATCATTAAATTAGCTGTTAAAAAAATAGACTATTGTATTATGCATATTGTACTGTGTGGTATTTTATTAGTTTACCTTTACGTTAGTACTTATAACATAATATTTTTATAGTGATCATTAAAAGTACATTTTGTGATTCATGGTGTGTTCACGGTCGTATGTAGATATATGATGTGAGCCAATGACAAAATGTTTAACGCACATACAAACACGAAGAACACACATACAAGTAAAAGACTAGTATAAATTACTATAAACGAAATAAGGGATTTACTTTTTAGGTGAATATTTTCAYTTAAGATTGGTGATTGTAATCTTAAAACAATTGAACGAAAACGAAGTCAAGGCAATTCGCAATATGGAAGTGGTTGAGATTTAACTGTTGGAAAATTATTCAACTTATCTTATTGACGTCTTCTTTTTATTATTTCGCATGTCGCCATTAATGAATATTATTTTATTCGTTCTCATCTCATTGTTACTTTACAGTATCCATACTGTGAAATGTCTTATTATTACAATACAATGCAAATACATTATCAGGTGAATAGTAGAAGGGGATTCTTATACGTACTCTTTATAATATTACAAAGACTATAATAATATTAAACTTGTATAGTGTAGGTATATAGTCTATAGTTCGGTGTACATTCTTGCATTCATTGTGGTAGGGAATGGTGCTAGATAATACATTGGGTCAATATTCGGTATGAATTTCAAGGTCTTGGTATGCATGACTCGAGTTGTATGTTGCCTAACATCGCGTCAGTTGTCGGTGGAGGGTCAAGGGGATCTGGACACCCCCAGGATCTAAATTAATGTTGTAATTTTACTAAACTTGTTCTTCTATAAGCATTGCGTATTTATAATATAATTTTAAAATCTAGAATTGCAGACAAATTGTGAATTTATTAAATCCAGATCTCCTGTATAGTTATTAATTATTACAATAGTATTACATTATTGATAGCAACTGAATGATAAATATTTTCTTAAATCGTACTGACCAAAGTTAAATCAATTTATACTATGTACACTGTACACATACCTATATACATATATTTAACAATATTGATTTATTATTAGCGAATTACTATTAATTAATGATGCAATAAATTATTGGAAAATAATAACAGTGAAAACTCTTTATAACGAAACTCGTTACAACGAAAAATTCTATATTACGCAAATAACATTAAGTTAACTTATAATAACGGATCGATGTATTTATTATTGGTTTTATTATGCCGTGTGTTGTTTTGTGTCCGTCACCAGTAAATTTTTTTCTAAAAACTAAGTGGTTTTTGCAGGTCTCCTTTACCTTTCGATTTATTAGGAGAAATACTGAAAAACAGTAATAATAAATAGGTATGTCCTTATACAGCCTGACACCTTGGTTTTTGTACGCGATGACCATTGAATTCAAACTTAACAAATCCATTACAATAACTTACTAAAAAACGAGGTAGGTAGTGTAGGTACGCACTCGAACTCTTCTAAACAGCAAAGCAGCAACCACTGCAGTTTTTTTTTTGTAATTACTTTAAGTAGTAAACTATTAATTAATGCTAATTAATCAGTAATTATTTTGAAGTATTATCCTATATCATTATGTAAAAGGCTTTTGTAAATTATTAATTTACTCGTAGTATAAATTAATCAAAATCGGTCGAGTGTAACCGTAGTCTTATACGAAATCTTAAAACAAAAAGTGGGAAAAACAATAGCCCGCCCACCCTATATGTACTACCTATATTTTAGGAGTTGAATATTTATTTATCGATTAATTGTATTTTAAATAAAATAAATATATTGTTATTTTAAATACCATAAAAAAATTGCCTAGATATTTACAGGATGGATATTTTTGTTAATTTAGTTGGAAATGTTCTATGAAGTATGTATATAAGGAGAGAACGAGACCATATTTAATTAAAACACTGTCATCATATCGTTTAACGGGATACTACGAAGTTTTAGGGGCCGGAAATAGTTGGTTTATTTGATATTCAGAGAAAAAATTAATTAAAGTTGTTGTAAAGCCCTTGGTCGGCGAGGGTTGGGGTTTCGTATGAAGTTCTCTCTCATTATGGAACGTTTGGGCGGAGATAGCAACCCTTTATATTTGTACCGAGAGAGAATAAAGTGGGGCCAAGGGTATTTGAGCAGTTTTAAAGAGGGTCAGAGAATGACTGAGCTTCTAAAAGAACAAATATATTTATAGGTAGTAAATATCATAGGTATCCCTTATTACTTTATATACATTTATAATAAATAAAGTAATTATAATAAAAGTGCGGTTACGTTTTTTGTACAATATAATATGCACAATTATATAACGTTATAATAATTAATGTACATGTAGATATAGTTTTATTGTTCCCAGAGACTTTCTATGGTTCGAGTCTTGTGTGAAAAATAAAAATGTGTTTTGAACTCGCTTTAGCGTGATAGTTGTATAGTGCAGTGTTTTCGGCCTTACCAACTGTGTACTTAGTCACTCGGATGGCATGTTCCTTTTAAATAATAATCGTTTGTCAGTAGATCACGTGCGAAAAGTCGAAAATTTACATTTAAACAATCAAAGATCTTTCCTGTTGATTCCTTGTATCATGGTTGCCGTGTTTGCAACCAACGGATTTGGGTGGTTTTTAATTTATTGATTCTGTTGTATATAATATATTATATATTATATGGATTACGTGTTTTTGGTCGGAGACCAAAGTTTTAATTATATATTATTTATGTATTTACAGTGAACATTTTGTTAAAATAGATTCTGCTTTTTGTGTCCGTGTTAAAAAACGTCGATGTTGTTACAATATGTTGCGTAAATAGCTCTGTTCTCGTCGGTCGCATATAGGTATTGACGTCTTGTTACAATAGGTTTTTATGTAAATTCCACACGTGGCTGTCACTATTTCAATGTAAATGCATTGAATCTGTGTAAAAACGCCGAGTAAACAACTTATCTTATATCGCATAAATGCGTTATGATTCGCGTGCGTTTTTTGAATGTTGAATGTGTCAATGTCGTGTATGTATGCAATATGTTAAATACTGCATTTTACGATAAAGTAAAAACACAATCTGACGCTTATAGGCGTTGTGCATAGGCAACATATTCAACTCTTCGGTCGCCACCGCTTTTCGTTGGCGGGTGACAAAATAAAATTTCCCGTGCGATAGTCGTGCATTTTTGCATAACATTTTATTGCAATCATTATTTTTCGGTGATCAACAAACGTTAAATAAATGTATTATCATACGCGTGGCCTCCTAACTGTCTGCGTATAGAATTCATTTTTGTTGCGGCAATTGCTACGGCGGCGTGACGTAGATATGTGTATAATTTTCGGCGTCGTCGGTTAAAACAGAAAAAAAAAAAAAAAAAGATATGTGTATAATAATATGGTGGTCACCAATTTCTGTGTCACTTTTCATAACAGAAACAAATTTAATTAACGTTCTATCTTGTGGACGTTAATTAATAATTTGGTTTTTAAGTATTTAACTTTTTATTCATTAGTTCATTACCTAATCAATGTCGAGAAACAGGAATTGTAACGCTTTAAAGATGGCATTTCTGCAGTGATAAACTGATAAGTTCAAATTTAAAGAAAACATTACCACCGAGTTTTATAAAAATATAAACGTCCACGCTACAATAAAGTATGTCTCCGGCAATCTATGTACATGCGACGATTGCTATGTAACTATTTTTTTATTCGCCTCGAGCGACGGATTGTTTCCTATAGCTGTTGTGTTTGATCGGTCCCGTTTTGATTTGATTTTGTAGTGAACCAAAAATAAAATCCAACCGAAAATGATTCTAGTGAAACTGATCGAAAATGRCGACGGACTCWGGTCACCGCCTGAATGGGCTGCCCTGGAAATGCAAGGTGAGCTCGAAACCCGCAGGCACACACCGCTCGAACGCCAATACGTCGGCGACTTGTTTGCGACCATTCAGGATGGCGTGCCCATTTTGATCATTGGCCATCACATCCTGTACGGTAAAATGCAGAAGTTCGAGAAGCCACTCGCAGTGATGAAGAAGAAACCGGACGCCGATGAGTACGTGGTCGAGGCAATCGTCACCAAAAAGTTGTTGTTCAAGAACCGACCCAAGCCCATCATCGCATGTAATTCCGACGACCTTTGAACGTGTCCGGCCGCCCAGTCGGTTAAAAAAAAAAAAAACTTTGAAATTATATAATTCATCGTTTATACACAATAATTCTTTATTACACTTATAATATTATGTAATTTATATTTCCCTTGATCGTACAATATACATTCATTTTCGAATTATGCGACTTCTTATTGCTGCTGTAGTTGTAGTTCATGTAGTTGTATTCTTTTAGCGACCGCGGCGCTGTAGTTTCTGCGACGCCTAAAACTATCTAGCTAAGCAACCCAACTCACACTAATGATGTCTGAACCGCGAGTGTTTCTAACGGCGTTTGTTAGCTATACGATCTTATATTTTGTATACTCTTGGAATGCATTATATAGTATCGGAAGAAAACGGATGTCTTGTAATTTTACATGTTCTGAAGATTTCGATTTTTCATCGCAGCTATCGTCTGAAAATCGTCTTTCCGCTTATAGCTTGACGGGGAAACGACTCTTAACCAATCATATAATATAGTCATATAATCACATGAACCAATACTGTCATATTGTATTATGCCGTGGCCTGTCCGGTGTTTGTCTCGAATCAAAACACGTGTTAATGAGTATAATATTTCGTTAACGTCATTAACTCCATAATTAAATGATTAATGCATTCATTGGTAGAAAGGATGGCTTTTAGTTTAGGTTTTATGAATAAAAGTTAATTTTTGTGGAGTATAATTTAATAGATTATAATAAATAATAATATTATGCCTGTATAGTCACGCTAATCGATCCACTTCACCGACTGGCGTTGTTGTTGTAATGACAGTTAATATAATATTTTATCGCACGTTTTTAATACGAACAATCGTTGCGGAATGTAAATAACTGAATAATTGTCTATTTCGTCGCTTGCTCCATACTATAATATCATAATACGTAGTAGGCATATTTAGGCATACACTGTGCTGCATAAGTCGTGTCGTGACGCTTGAACGTGGTTTTCATCGATATTTCCCCCCTCGAAACGACATTGATCTCAAAACCACCATTTGTAATGCGTACGCGTGTGTATAATATGTGGACTACGTTTTCACCAACGTATATCGATTAATTGCCGAGCTATATAATATAATAATATAATCGATACAATGATTTAATTATGGTGTCTAACACAAGTGTTGAGTTCGCCGCGTAACACGATATCTGCAGTGTAATGTGTATACGGGAGAACAATAACGCGCGAACAAAAGTCGTCTTATTATTTATTACGAATTGGGCGTAACGTCAAAGTTATAAAGTTATAAAAACAAAAACGTTATTATTCCATATAATAACGCGGGCCTTGTCCTCTATAATAATCAAAGCTGATATATTACACTATGTGGAGAGGTCCGTACGCTGAATTTCTATATAAATATTACTATGTTATTGCAAGCATCGAAAAATCACTGCAATTATGAGCCTGGTATGACTATAATACAACAATATAATAACGCTGCAAAAACCAAGTGTCGTCATATATATATTATGTAGTGAAATATACGATTGTAATAAATATTTTTAAGACGTCCAATCACTTTCGATCACTCTTTCTGTTTGTGCGTGTGAGTGTATTTCTTCCTCGATGTGTTTTGGGGCACAGGGTGTTGTGAGTATCTGCAGTGGTTTTATTATACAAAATAAAAAGATGTTTACGAAATCGTTCTTTTCTCCCACCGAATCCACGTATTTATAGATAGCTTGTTGTCGATTCACGAACTGACAATATGTTATACATGTACCTATGAATATAATAATATGTATAAATACAAAACGAAAAACATTTCACTTGAAAATGTTTGGTAATGATTTCTCAAAGAAAATCGGGTCGGCGAATTCAAGTCAAGGATAGAAATCCTATGGTGTTCAGTACTACGTGAGTGCGAGYGACGTTGGTTATAGTCGGTTGTCGGTTGCTGAGACTGTTACAAATTCGTACGACCGAGAAGCCTGTTCCCAAGGACAAAGGACGCGATGTTAATTAAGTCCCTCGATTGTCTTGGGTATATATTATGATTATTATTATGATACCTAAATCCAAATCTTGGAAACGTTTCTTTATTTCGCGTATAATTAATAATAACGTTCAATGTCAGGATTTCCACCCGCCCACATCACATGCCTCAACATTTTCGGCGATTGAGTCTGATGTCTAAAAAACACACATTACACTATTACAGAATATTGTATCAAATGATAATAATTATTATTCTAGTTCTTAAAGCGTTATCAAGTTTCTAATTTTTAAATAAATAATTTATTATTTTATTTTTAAAGTTGTAATCTTAAGCGTAATAGCTGCGATACTATTATTAGTGCGGCATAACACTATTTCTGGCGTTCGTCTTCTCAGAAGTAATATTTTAATGTCAAAATTTAAAAAATTACAAAAGTTAATTTCGCTTAATGTCAATTAATTATTTAATTGTATTGTAGGTGCATTTAAATTTTATAATTTAGAAAAACTAATTAGTAATTTCTAGGGCAAAGGACTTGAAGCATTTTCAAATTTGTTTTGCACAGTCACAAAAATAGCAGAGTACGATGCTAATACATTTCACGCTTTCACTAAGCTAGTTTTAAAATTTTATTGTGCATATAAATGTATATTTTTGGTTTTTTTGGTTTTTAAGGAATATTTTACACTTTTATATACTTTTTGAGACATATTTAACTTAAATCAAATTTTCCACTGTGACATTTTTATTTCGAACAATACAGTCAAAATGTTTGGATAAAAATGTATTTATTTTTCATTTTTGTCGTATAATATGATTTTTGAGTGTCCATGGGCACACATTTTTCGTAGAAGCGATTACGATCTAACGTTGTACACCTATACTTACGACATCACCACCACAACTTAGTGCGCACCACGCGTGCTTTTATTCGATTAAGATTTTAATTTATAAAACGTTTCTAGACATGGAAATAATCAATATTTCAGTATTTAATCTCGGTCAGTTCTGCGGAATGTACATACGTGTTAAAAAAATTTTAATTGCATAAGTGCTTGAATATATTTTAGAACTTTTTTTAGAACTACAAGTCCTCTGACTTAGTAATTACTCTCGGAGAAAAAATTTTCAACATGGTTTATTACGACACGTGACGTATTAATTTATTTCAAAACAAAAAAAAAATAATGCGACGTGTACAAATTAATTGTTTGTCGTCTCGTTACTATTATTATAATTTATAACTTATAGTATTTCAATTTCAATCGTTCGTGATTATGACATATTATAATTATTTATGCACGATATAATAAGGGTATACCACCTAACATTGTATTTGTGTTTAAACGATTGTTGCATACCTGCCTAATTTTTTTTTAACTTTTACATCGCCCTTGAATAGTATACTTGAAATTAATTTGTGCATGAACAATTGAGTGAAACAGTGCCATCTCGACCTGATGATAATTTGTCAAAACGCAAGTTTCCTGCTATTGTAGACAGAGAAATAGAACACATTCTTCCATTCATTGTTCAAAAACAATGAAATTAACATAATTATTTGGACTAATATATTATAGTTTTAAATTATAAAGGGCAAATGTCTTAGACTGTTCACTCCCGCCGTCTTGAATTAGCCTTGGTCTCCATATTTTTCTTTCGTTTTCATCGGCTCCGCGTAATACCTATCTATACTCCATAGGTGCAATATATAACATCACTGTGCACTGAATTATATTGTGGAAAAATGTTCTGTGCGTGTTTTGACTTCAAATAATCTATCTCGGCGCCGAAACATATATTGTTTTTCTTTGATACTATTCCAATCTATTTTTCCGTCTTCGAATTCGACAGGAGTTATAGAATAAATTATAACAATTATATATTAAGCTTGTAATATGATAATTGTAAAATATTAAGATTATTACATTATTAATATAATAATTAAAGAAAACTAAGAAAAATTCATCAATTTCAATCACCTATTTCATAATTAAACTGGGTGAAGTGTGAACCAGCCTGCAGTATCTTCAATTCAATTACCTTTTATTTTTAGAGGAAGTCACAAATACTAACATTTTAATAAGCATCCGACACTAAACCATCTCGCTTATGCTCCTCTGTAAATTCCTACAAAGCTTTGGAAACATATAAATATCGATTATGGTATTTATCGTTATTMCATTGAATAAATAATAAAGTGTAATAACAAATAATAATAGTTAAATTGAAATAATAACAAACATATTTATTACGTAACACTGTTACATGTTGCATAAATAAAATTTACCAAATTAGAGAAGCGAATAATAGTGCTAAATAAGAGGTAATTAAAAGACCACTGACCACAGAATACTGTATGCGCTACAAGGCATAATKTATGCTGACACCGTGTGTCTATCATATTATTGTATACTAATATTACTTTACTAGTCCTAAAGTCGATCCTCGCCCCTTTTGGGCTGTGTGACTTACTCGGTTTGCGTTTTTGAAGGGATTTTTCATGTATTTAATTTGTTTTGTGCTGTTATCGCCTTCCGAAGGTCAATTTCGTGAAAAATGAGATAATAATGCATTTTTGTTTGTTAGATTATAATTTAAGATTAGATTTTGTTTTTGTATACACTAATATTTATATATAGTGTGATACTGAGTTTAACATTATGATTGTGTTATTATTCATTTTTTATTTTTAACTGAGGGTTCAATGTCTGTGGTTATTAGTATGTCCTATACAATTTTATATTGGAAATTGGTGTACATTTTCAGAATTTTTAACATTATCTCTCATTAATTAAATAATTTATACAATACAAATAAATATTACAAGATATGAAATGTATTACTTTGTAGTTATATATTTTGATTTTAAATAATATAATATTCTAGTTTTAATTTCATAAAGGAATTGTGATTGTATTATTTGTTTTTTYCTTTTACTTATATTTCTAAAGCCTTATAATGTTATTTAAGTGAGTCAAATATCATTACATGTTTATTTGAAACGATATTATTATAAACATAATATTTTTGTAGATTATACTCACGATTGTTCTATTTTCCATACAGTCGTGGATTTGATTGTCTTTTTAGATTTTAGTAAAAAATAATAGTCAAGCTATCTGCTATTTATTTCCTKTCGCATTTTATCTGTACGCCTAAACAAAATCAATACACACGTGTCAATGATAA